TTGTAACTTTTTTTTTTTTGGCTATTTGGCATTTGAAAGATTATATACGTATCCCATATATGAAAGAAAGATTTACTTTTTTTTTACTGTTATTATTTTCATAAATGAAATTTTTTCTTCGTTTTCTAGATTTTACTTCTTGTTTGTTCTTTATGGTCTCTTATTCAATCTATGCCTCAATAGTTTTTTCATTTTTATTTTTCAATTTGGTATTTGGATTTGTGTGGATCTTGGTGAGCTTCGTGAGTTTTGATATTTTGTTTGGCTGGAAAACCTAATTTTTTGTGGATTTCTTGCAGTCTAGGGCTAGATTTGTGTGTTCTCTTTCCATAACTTCCATCACAAAACCTGAAACTATTCTCTTATTTTTGAAGAATAAATATATTTCCTATTTATTATTCATACTCTGAATGATGAATTTTTCAAGAAGTTTATATTATGAAATGGCAAGAAAGGCGTTTTTATCAATTATTGTTTAAAAAAATGTAAATAAATATCCTGTTGTGGGGAGGGATAAATGTGAAATCAAGAAATTTAAATTAAGATTCAAGATCCATTTGTATAAAAGTAAAAACAATATACCACTTAAAATTTAGTTACACTCTGCATATCAGAGAACTATATGTAATAAAGAGCAGTTGATGCTTTGGACCATAAATAATAACGGTGTTTTTGTTTAAAATATATATTTGGTTATGATCCAGTGAATAAAAATATATATAATTTTTTATTTTTATTTTTTTCTGTAATACCCTTAGGTTTTTAGTAACTTCTGATGAGATATTAAAACATGAGCAGCTCAATTGTTTCCTTTTGATGGGACTTTGAGGTGTTTGGCATGGGGTTTTCTAGATTGATCTGTAGGTTATTACAAGGTTTGTGTTTCTTCGCATTTCTTGGAACTTGAACCTTTGTACTAAATTTGAACATGGCTTCTGTCATTTTTATAATCTTTCTTTTTTGTGTTTTCTCCTTTTACTAATCACCTAGGATAAGGATCTTGTAACTATTGCTGACTAATGATCTCTCAATTTTTTTTATTTATTTAAGTTTTAAAAAATATATTAAGAAAAGTAATTATAAAATGTCTTACTTTTATTTATATTGTATTTTGAAATATGACATTTGAGAATAAGAATCTACACATTTTAATTTGTTGATAGAGTATTGTTGCCTAACTAATACTTAGCCTAACAAATTACACCAACTGTACATATTTTTATATTCAAATGTCATATTTATTATAAATAGAAATATAATATTTCTTATAATATATGCAAAGGCATGTATATATATATGAGTATCTAAAGGTTATGCTATGCATTTATGTGCTAAAGTAATACTTGGGATTATATAACGGAAAATATGTCAGTGTTATTAAAAAGTAGTATTAAATTCAAAACCTTACCAAACACACAGATACATTATTGAAAGTTTCATCGGACGCAGATATATACCTAACAAAAACAAAACTGTAACGTAGCAAAGATATATATAACGAATCTATGTACAGAAAAATTAAATCTCTTGCGAGAGAGTAAATTAAATACGGTGAATCATGAGCAGCCGTACATATATGCATGTTAGTTGTGTTTAATAATGGGTGCGGGGTAACAGTAGTAATTGCAATTTTTCTAGAAATTATATTATATACCCAAAATTTAAGAATCACACTTAATGTAGCTAAATAGTATTTTAAAAAGTATGAAGGGTCAACCAGCTAACGATTAGACCGCAAATTCGCACAAGAATTTGTAATGTACAAGAACTTATTGAATCCATGAGTAGATTAATTATGTTTAATTATGATGTTTGATGTAGCTAGTATTGGTTATGATTCCCAATTTGGATAATTGAGCAAAATGAATTGTTGAAATTATGCAAAAACCCCTAAAAATTGTACTAATAAACAATATTTGATTGAATTATTTTGTGCATAGCAGCATGGACAGGATTCTTGAGAAGTATGAGAGGTATTCATTTGCCGAAAGACAACTTGTTGCTACTGAGCCTCAGTCACCTGTAAGCATTCTACCAATCCTACAAAAACGAGACCATGATATATCGATATACACACACGCATTAATTAATTTAGATATATTTTCTTGATATTATTTATGATGTTTTGAATTACAAAGTCATTATTATTATTATTATTATTATTATTATTATTATTATTATTATTATTATTATTATTATTATTATTANTTGGACCCTGGAATACAGCAAACTGAGGGCTAGAATTGATCTCTTGCAAAGAAACCATAGGTAATAAAGTTTTTATTGTGGGAAATTATATCGCTTATTGAAAAATTAATAGGCAAAATTGCTCCTAGTATCACAATATTTTTTGAAATTGCAAATTATTCACGATATTTGCACTTTCGTAAATTATATCACAATATTTAGTTTGATGTAAATCGGTGCACGAGTTTTAAAAATCAGCCTAGGCAAAATGATATGGCCGAAGAGCAAATTGAAATTTGTGAGATATTTTGCACGGGTTATGCAAATTGGTGCACCAATTTGCAATAAACTGGAGATTGTGTGATACAATTTACAAAAGTGATAAGTAGTGATCAAATTGAAATTTCGGAAAAGATCGTGATATTAAGGACAATTTTTCCAAAAATTATTTCAATATGTAAATGTACACATATTTGTTTTGGTCTCCTTAGGCACTATATGGGAGAAGATCTGGACTCCATGAGCCTCAAAGACCTGCAGAATCTGGAACAACAGCTTGACATTGCTCTTAAGAGCATTCGTTCCAGAAAAGTATGGATTTTGTTTTTTGTTTTTTTTTTTTTTTTTTNACTGCTGCAAATTAATTAGTCGATATTATTAAGTTTGTTCATCTTTTTGTTGGTCCGAAACAGAATCAACTCTTGTACGATTCCATCTCCGAATTGCAGCAAAAGGTTTGTGTTGTGCATATAATTAACAAAAGTTTAGTATATATATATGAGTAACATTGATTTTGCTAACAAATATAGAAAATTGCAAATAATTGGACCAATTGTGTTTATTATATACATTTATGGCAAAATTTCAAAATTGATCCTATAACTTGGCCATTGTCCAAAAAACCACCCCGATATTATATTGACCACTTTCAATTTAGGTTCTATAATTTGTCGATTTCATCAATTTTGGTCCTTTTTATCAGCACCCTGGATCAAAAAGTGACGTGGCATGACGTGCCAGTTTTTTTAAGTTACATGGCGTGATTATGATCTACGTGACACGTCAATTTTGGTCCTATAATTTGTCGATTTCATCAATTTTGGTCCTTTGTTCATGTCACGTCACTTTTTAATCTAGGGTGCGGATAAAAAAGGACCAAAGTTGATGAAATCGACAAATTATAGGACCTAAATTGAAAATGGTCAATATCGGGGTGATTTTTTGGACAGTGACCAAATTATAGGACCAATTTTAAAATATTCCCTACATTTGTAATCACACAATTCTACCCATTACCCATTTTTTTTTACAGGAAAAGGAGATACAAGAGCAGAACAGCATGCTATCAAAGCAGGTGATCTCTAATACTTTATTACTGATGCATTTTTGCCTTGCTCATTTCATAGTGAACTTAATTATAAGCAATTTTCATACAGATCAAAGAGAAGGAACAAGAAATGGGCCAGCAGGCCCAACTGTGGGACCAGCAGAATCACGGCCCAAGTGCACCACCACCACCACAACAGCCACAACCACAATTCTTGATGTCTCCACAATTTCCGGGCCTTAACATGGGGTACGTTATGTATAGTCTACGAATAAAATTTTGCCTGGGCTTGAATTTTGGTTGGGCTGTTCACCACTGAGAATGGGATGGGCCTATGTGGCCCTCTACTTTTTGCAACTCGGAAAATCCGGTTATATTAGAGCATCCTAAATAAGTCCCAATAACTTGGTGCATTTTGAGGTTTGAATTGGCTGAAAATTAAACTAGCTAATAGCTGATAAGTTAGTCGATGTCTTATAAGTGAATTTCGAGCTTGTAACTGATAGCTTATAACTTAAGGATGAAAAACTAACTTATATGATAAAAGTGCTTCGTAAAATTAGTTGATAAACTAATTGAAATAAAAATTTCAAGGAAGTTTATGAAATAAGCTCGAGATTTTTAAAAAAATTATCGTACCAAAACAGAATTTATTTGGATACATGAAGCTTATAAGCTAACCACATAAATTATAAGTTAATTTATGGTGCTTACCAAACACACTCTTAATCGTTATTGTAATGTATGCTTTCGTGCAGAGGTGTGTACGAAGGTGAAGCAATGGAGGCAAGAAGGAATGAACTCGACCTCACCCTTGATTCTCTGTATTCATGCCATCTTGGATGCTTTGCGACTTGAGAGGATTATGGTGTGTTTCCTACTTAATTAATTTTTATTACCAGCAAATAAAGTTATGTGATCATCATGTTTGATCTGTGTTGGGAAACTGCTAGTTTGTTCTAGCAGTATTGCTGTGTGTGGTTTAAGTGTAAAATTTAGAAGTTGTACTTTCGAAGAGCTTGCTATGATGAGGACTGTAAACGTTACTACGACTATGATTTATGTATCTCTCTTTTATTTTTCGTCCAGTTATATTTTATATTAATTAAGTGTAATAATACAATAGTTATCATTAAAATATTTAATTATACATGACATTAAATGATATGAAAATTACATAAGAAAAATTATATTTAAAGAATTTTTGTAAGCTATTATTCTTACACAAGAGTTTTATTACTTATCATTAAACATTTTTTTAGAAAAATAGCTAATTGATTTTAATGGCTTAATCGCAAGTCCTTTCAAATCGCATAAATAATAATAATAATAATAATAATAATAATAATAATAATAATAATAATAATAATAATTTAGTATTTTTCTAGCTAATTAATTTGTCATGATGCCTCAATATTATAATAATTACATATTTTATTTTATTTTCAACTTGTATATATGTACATATTTTAGATAAAGATGGTATACAACATAAGATACTGTTGATATGAAATGTTATACAACAGTTAGAAAAATTGTATTTATGGCATCACAAAACGCATATGGCACGGTTTACACTAATGCGATTAAATATTACCATTTCACATCATTTTTAACAAAATAATAACGCAATTCATTGTTCAATAATTTGAAAAACAAAAATTAATTCATCTTTTTAAAATATTTTTTAGTTCGATCCTCATGTAATTTACTCGTTGTCCTAGAGAATTAATATATGATATGAATATTAAAGTTATTTGTGAATTTATTTAATAATTATTTGTTTTATAAAAAAAAAAGGAAAAAACAAAAGAAAAGTTACTCGAAAGACTCGACTCCTTGACTTGTAAGAGCATCTCCAATGCTAAAAGTGGGAAATACCATTATTTTTAACACATGTCAATTAGTGATTGTAATGTTAATCCACATTAGAATAATGTTAAAAGACTAAAAATTTCAATGAAACTAGTATCTCCAATGCATCAATTTGATAAGAAGTTAATTGTATAGGTGGACCAATTAAATAATTCATTGATACAAGAAAAATAAAAAATTAAAACAAATATAAAGTAAATTGATGAGTCATCATGTTTAACATGGTGTTAGATATTAGAAAGTGTGCTCAACATTGTCAACATTAAATGACATCCACCTCATCATGAAAGAGTTCATGACAAGATGCATTGGAGAAAAAAATAGAGACACACTTTCAAAAGTTGATGATATGAATGACTTTTTATAATGTCAAAAGTTGCATTGAAGATGCTCTAAAGCTAGGGCTCCACTCCCACTGGCCCGCCATTTCCCCCAATATCTCTCTGTTTCCTATTAATTATCCCTCCCAAACTCCCCCAATCACTCAACACACACACATACACAGAGAAAAATGGGCTTCCATGAGTTCGCGAAATTCGTCGTCGAAAAATTGAACGAATTTCTGATCGCCGTCGGGAACTTGACCGGCGAGGCTCTTGCCTGGTTCGAAGGCGTCTTTCCGCCTGAAACGAGGGCCGACAAAATCAGCCAGTGGATCCGCCTCGCTCTGCCGTACCTGATCGCCGCCGTGGTCCTGACGGCGGTCTTCTGCTTCTGCCGGTGCTTCTGGCGGTACTGCTGCCGTGGCCGTGGGAGGGTGAGGATGATGAAGACCCCGGGGAGGAACTTGCTGATGCCGAGGAACGTGTTTGAGAGCGACCCAAAAGGGTATTTTCGGAATCTCCATGCCCATCCTGGGGATGACCTTTGTTAAGGATTCCATTTGATTTGATTTGATTTGGAATTTTGCTTTTCTAATTTGTTTTTGGTGGTGTTTTGTGCATACCTTGTGTGATGCACTATCGTCCCCTGTTTTATGGTGTTTAAGATGGGAATCTTTCTGGATTTATGGAGTTCTAATGTGTTAAGTGTGAAGTTCTCTGAATTTCTAGAGTTATTCAGCATATGGATGGACTTCACATAGTCACTTCAACTTGGTTTTTCACCAACGTATTCTTGTATGAGTGTGTATGTGACGGTTGAAATATCCGGTGGCACTAGCATTGGATATATATAATTACTTACCGTGTTAGAGTTTCTTGGATGAATTAGAATCTATATATATAATTGTTGGCTCACGAGCATTTAATAAAACTTATTAAATTATACTTATGCGGCAATATAACTTTTTCCTTAAAAAATTGTTACTTTTTATTTATTTAACCTCTCCTTTAATTATTAGATAATCAACATACTAATCACTTTAAAATTACAAAAATCATTTTAAACTTTTGATTTAGACCATATAATGTGTTGACTATTTAACGTGATTAGATGTCATTGTTGTGGTTACTTATAAATTAACTTCTTTTGAAAAATAAAAAACGTATTTGAAATTCTTAAATAAATAATAAATAATTCACAAAAAAAATACATGACAAAATATACATTACATCCAATATAATAAACATAATTTAAAAAAAAAATATATTTTAGCTCCTTTAAATGTAAATTTGGCCTGCAAAAAAGTGCAAGAAAAATCATTAATCATTATATGCATACAAATAACTCACAATACTTTATCTATATATGTGCATTTGCACAAGTCGAATACTAGAATAATTTCAATCCAAAAATAACTAGTCTTGAAATATTCATATATATAATAGATGTTTATGATCTTTTGTAAGATAATTAATTATGTTTTAATATTATTTTCTATTATAGGCGTAGTTATAAAGTATAATTATTATTTCTAATACTTCTTTTTTCTTCATCTTTCTTATGTAATTATAATAAAATTGCTAACATAAATTATAAATATATTTAAAAGCTAATAACATAAAAATAAATTAATAATTATATTTATCTTTTTTAAAAACTAAAGTATATATTAATATGAATTGGAAAACAACTACTTAAATTAATTTAACTATAAATTAGTTACATGATATAAGTTTAAAAATTATTATAATATAAGATAAGATGTTAAGTCGTATAAGTGACGGATATCGTTTTAAATATAAATAATAATATAAATTTTTCTAAAAAATATTTGAAAATTTGAACCTTTATTTTATATTTTGATTTTAAATATAATTTTTTTTGACAAAGTACCTGTGAGAATGCCGCCGCCATCTCCAAGCTCAAGACCTCACCATCGAGCTCATCAGTCTCAAGCAGTCCCTCGAGTCGGCCCACTCGGAGCACTGACTGGGAGCCGTCATGGCCAAGGAGCAGGAGCATTAATGTATTTTAACGTGTAGCTATTAGACCAGGAATATATTTGTACAAGTTGTACAAGATTCTGGAAGGCATTTCATTCATTATTAATGGAAGACATTCACTGTCATAACATGTTGATGTATGTCTCATTCACTATTAATATATTTTAACAATGAATGTTACTGTAGTCTCTCCAGAAATGAGTTAATCTTGGACTTCTGCCACACTCAACTAGCTAGCAATAGCGATTGAGATTTATCCTGAGATTCGGGAGTTATAACTTTTTAGGTAAATCGTTGAAGTTGAAGTATATTATGAAGTTTTCGTTTCAATGAATACATCTGCTTTCCCGCTCACAACAAAAGCCAACTTTGAATTAATTATTCTAAAGAGTTGTAATCTTAATTGGAGAAAACTTATTTTAACAAACAACTTCCTGAGTTAAGCAGATGCACTGAGAAATTGGAAATAGAACTTGAGACAATGAAGATACATTTATTTTTTCAATTGACCTTAGTATATACTTTCATGTTTCATGCTTAAAAACAGTGGAGCAACGAAAATTAATGAACTCTGAAGATCAGAGTGAAGAGAGAAAAATGTGTGAGAAAAAGTAGAAGAGGCGATTGATTTCTGAGGAAATGAAAAGTGTGTACAAATGAGTTTGTTCACCCTATTTATACTTAGGGTTAGTAATGATAAAATGCTAATTATACAATGACAACTTTAAATGAAAATTACAACTCTATTACTTAACCTACTACAATAAGTCTAATACTCTAATAAAAAGATTGACATGGATGTTATTCATGTGAATCTTGGATAATAAATGAAAGTATACAGACTTAGATAAAGGCTTGGTAAATAAATCTGCTGTTTGATCAGTTGTAGAAATGTAGTGAAGCTTGATCAGGCCTGCAGCAATTTTTTCTCTTATCAGGTGGCAATCTATTTGTATGTCTTTAGTCCTTTCATGAAACACTGGGTTTGTAGCAATGGCCATGGCAAACTGACTATCTGAAAATAATGAAACTGGAGAGGAATGAGCAATATTGAAATCATTAAACAGGTAAATGAGCCATTGGATTTCACAAGAGGTTGTGGCTAAAGCCCTGTATTCAGCTTCTGCTGAAGATCTGCTTATAGTACTTTGCTTTTTAGATTTCCAAGAGATTAATGAATCTCTTAAAAAAATACAGTATCCAGTAATACTTTTTCTTGTATCAAGGCAACTTGCCCGATCACTATCACAGTAACCATTTAACTGTAAAGAAGAATTTCTAGAGAAGAAAATACCTTTGCCCACTGTGCCTTTGATGTATCTCAGAATTCTGTGTGCAGCAGATAGGTGTAATTTTGTAGGCTTTGATAAAAATTGACTAAGACTCTGAACACTATAAGATAGGTCAGGTCTGGAAATAGTTAAATACAATAACCTACCTATTAACCTTCTGTATTCAGTGACATCAGCAAGCTCACAAGTATCAGTAGCAGCAGTCAATTTTAAAGAAGCAGCCATAGGAGTAGAAGCAGGTTTGGAATCTAAGAAACCAGTGTCAGAAAGTATATCTAAGGCATACTTTCTTTGACACATATTTATGCCTTTTTCAGAGTGAGCAAACTCCAAACCCAAAATATATTTCAATTTGCCCAAATCTTTGATAGTAAAGCAAGAGTGTAGATGTTGTTTAATGGCAGTTAAATCATTAATGTTGTTACCAGCAAGGATAACATCATCAACATAAACAAGTAAGGCCATGAAAGATGAATTTGCAGCATTAAATAAAGTGAACATAGAACAATCGGCTGTAGATTGTTTGAATCCATAATTCAACAAACAAGATGTAAGTTTTTGAAACCATTGCCTAGATGCTTGCTTGAGACCATAAAGGCTTTTAACAAGTTTACAAACTCTGTTATCAGAAGGAGAACAATAGCCTGGTGGAGGCTTCATGTACACTTCCTCATCTAGGTCACCATGCAGAAATGCATTATTGACATCTAGTTGGTGAAGGTGCCAGTTTTTTATAGATGCTAATGCTATAAGGAATCTGACTGTGGTTATTTTGGCCACAGGAGAAAAAGTTTCAAAGTAGTCAATTCCTTCTTCTTGTGTATAGCCTTTAGTAACTAACCTAGCTTTGTACCTTTCTATTGTTCCATCAGAGTTGTATTTTATTTTATAAACCCATTTACAACCAATGCAATTTTTCCCTTTAGGTAAGTCAGTTAAAACCCAAGTATTTGTTTTTTCTAAGGCATCTAGCTCTTTTTTCATAGCACATTGCCATAAGGGATCTTTTGCAGCTTGGTTATAGGTTTTTGGTTCATTATTGACAGTAATAGAAGCAGTAAAGCATGTATGTATGTCAGATAATTGAGTGGTGGATAAGTAAGATGAGATAGGGTATTTGGAATGTTTTCCAGATGTGCTGAATGATGTGTTAGAAGAAGAGGTATTAGGTAAGGAGTGTTTGTAAACATTGAGGTAAGATGATGGCTTACTGGTCCTGTTGGATCTTCTGACAGGTTGAATTTGGGTTGAAGTATTGTTCTGGGTACAGTTATTGTCAGGTGGGGATTGGGAAGTGTGTGAAGTATTTGGTATTGATGGATTGTTTGTAGGAAAAGATGATGTAGTGGAAGGAATATCTGTGTGGTCAAAAGTAGGAGCAGGGGGAAAAAGGTTATCTGTTTGGGGAACTGATTTGAAAGGAAACACATCTTCATAAAATTGCACATTTCTGGAAATTAATGTTTTCTTGGTATCAAGGTTGTAAAGTTTGTAACCTTTACAACCTATGGGATATCCAAGAAATATGCATTTTGTTGATCTTGAATCAAACTTAGATCTGTTAACTAGAAGAGTGGATGCATATGCCAAACAACCAATAACTCTGAGATGATCATATGTGGGAGGTTTATTGTATAAAATTTCATAAGGAGATTTATTTTACCTGTGTAGGAATCCTATTTATGATATGAGCAGCTGCAAGAATACAATCCACCCAAAAAGTGAGAGGTAAGTGAGCATGAAACAATAATGCCCTAGCCACTTGAAGTAGGTGTTGATGCTTTCTTTCTACCCTACCATTTTGTTGGGGGGTTTCTACACAGGAGGTTTGATGCAAAATGCCATGATTTGTATAAAAATCTGATAGAATAAATTCTGTGCCATTGTCAGATCTCAAAACTTTGATTTTCTTATTGAATTGAGTAAAAATCATGTTATAAAAATGAAGGAGACTCTGTTTTGTATCTGACTTAGCACTTAAGGGATATATCCAAGTGACCCTAGTATGATCATCCACAAGTGTTAAAAAATATCTAAAACCTTCATGAGAAGTAACTGAAAAGGGTCCCCACAAGTCACAGTGAATCAAATCAAATGGTTCTTTTGCAATAGATTGACTGGTGGGAAAAGAAAGTTTTCTTTGTCTGGCAAAATGACAAACATCACATGGATTTGAATGCATGTCAATGCAAGATGAGGATGTAATATGTAATTGGTTCAACTTGGGATAAGATAAGTGACCCAATCTGAAATGCCAAGTATCATTATTGATTGAAGTGGAACATACAGTCTCATGATTTACATGTAAAGAGGTGTTTACAAGTAAATTGCAGTGGTCATGAGAAGAGTAAAAGAAGACAAATCAAAATAATAGAGGCCATCAGTCAGGTCAGCAGAACCAATCAGTTTCTGTGTTAGCATGTCCTGTATAACACAATGATTTGATAGAAATTGCACAATACAGTTAACAGATGAAACCAATTTAGATTCAGATATTAGGTTAAAATGAAAACTAGGTACATAAAGAGCATCATAAAGAATGATAGATGGAGTTATTTGAACATTGCCTCTATAACATGCTTCTGTAAATTGTCCATTTGGTAGATTGATTTTAATTGAAACCATTTTTGGATTTGCACAGAAAAAGGAAAGGTCACATATCATATGATCTGTGGCACCTGTGTCTAAAATCCAAGTGTTTTTGGACATTTGTCTAGTAACTAAGCATGTAAGAGGATCAGAAATACCTGTTGCATTATGAACAGCAGTAGCCACAACAGGACTCGAATGAATCACTGATTGTTTGTTCTGCTCCTGTGACTTTTTAAATGCTACAAACTCATGAAACAACTCATCAGTAATAGTGTGTGATGAATTAACTGGAGGGGCTGTAGGTTCAGTTTGAGAGAAATAGGCAGATGGTTTGGGTGTTGATTTAGGTCCTTTGGGTCCAATCCAGTTTGAGGGATAACCAACAATTTGAAAACACTTGTCAGCTGTATGGCCATTGTATCCACAGTGAGTACACTTAAGTTTCTTTCTGTCTTTAAAAGGCTGTTTGTTAGAGGTAGGTTGGGTGTTGTGATTGACAGAAGTTTTGGCAGCCATAGCAACTGGATCAAGGAATTGTGGTTTGTTGGTGAGGGATCTTTGTGTTTCCTCTCGAAGAAGTAAGGAATACACTTTGGATAAGGATGGCAGAGGTGAGGAAAGAAGAAAATGGCTTCTAAGAGGTGAGTAGGAATCATTTAGCCCGACCAGAAATTTCATCACACAATCATTGTGCTGAGATACAGCCATAGCATCAAAAATATTACAAGTACAGGCAGTAAATGCACCACAATTACATTTGAAAATAGGCCTATATGTAACATACTCATCCCACAATGATTTAAAGAGATTATAATAGTGAGTAACAGACTGAGAGCCTTGAGCAATAGTACTAAGAGACTTTTCAAGATGAAAAACCCTAGGACCACTGCTAAGTACATATCGAGTTTGCAGTTCAAGCCACACATCACGAGCAGTAGTGAAAAATAACAGCGATTGGCGTATATCTTTGCAAATAGAGTTGAGGAGCCAAGAGAGTACCAAATTGTTAGCGCGTAACCAAGACATGTAGGAAATCGGATTACCAGATGCCGATGGTGCAGTGATGGATCCATCAACAAACCCGATCTTGTTCTTGACACTGAGCGCCATGAGCACGGCACGTGACCACGAGACGTAGTTCTCGCTGTTGAAGGACTCAGCAACAATGATAGCGCCTGGATTATCGCTTGCGTGCAGATAAAATGGGGAAGTAGGATCATATGATGGATTGATCGTTGGTGTATTGATCGTCGTATTGATAGGTGTCGTCATGAAAATGAGCACAGAAAAGTCGCAGATCTGAGTAGATCGGAGTAAATCTGAAGTCTAGGGTTTCGCTCAAAAAGAAAATAATTGAAAAAACATAGAAAGAAGCATCAGAAATTGATCGGAAGAACACAGGATCGGCGAAAGTTAGCCGGCGAATGATACCATAATGAACTCTGAAGATCAGAGTGAAGAGAGAAAAATGTGAGAGAAAAAGTAGAAGAGACGATTGATTTCTGAGGAAATGAAAAGTGTGTACAAATGAGTTTGTTCACCCTATTTATACTTAGGGTTAGTAATGATAAAATGCTAATTATACAATGACAACTTTAAATGAAAATTACAACTCTATTACTTAACCTACTACAATAAGTCTAATACTCTAATAAAAATCAAGAAAAATGTCTTAATCAACACAAATGAGGGTCCAACTAAAAACTCCAGCAACTCTACTATGGGAAAAAAAAAATCATGAATTTTTTTGTGGAGCACTCACTGTGACTGCATGCTAACATAGTACTGATCTTCAATTTTAATGAAAAAACAAAGAGATACTGATCTTCAACTAAAAAAAAACAAACAAACAAAGAGATCATCTTCTCATTAATGAATTTCATTTTCATCATTAAACCGTCACTCTCCAAAAATCCACCAGCCAAGTGTATCGAACTAGGCCATAATTCATCTCGTTATGAAAATCATAAGACCTCAGAGTAAATGAGCCGCCTAAAACATCAGTTGTTTCTAGAAAAGATATAGGGTCAACAAAAATCAATCTTGTAGATATTTTGAAGCAAAGGGAACTATTCGACATATTCACAGCAACATAATTCACGCACAAACAAGTAGTTCATTCACAAGAGAACTTCTCTTGGTAAAACAGTCGCAAGGTTTGCTGATCCCAACAATAGGAAATAGCATATGATTGTCGATATAATACAGTGAGGAAAAGACCTAAACAACAAACGGGCTCTCCATGCAAGGACTGGGTTACATATCACAGCTTCAACGTACTTCATATTGAACAACTGCAGGAAACAAATTGAAAATAATGTATACAGCTGTTGGAAGATGTTTCACTTTCAGTCATCTAAAACTCACCAAGCCAATATTATTCTTTGAATTACTAAACATAAAACTTTTGACATCATGATTATATGCAGTGAGAAGAAGTGGCGATTGGAGAAATTTGTGCTCTTTGACATTCAATAATATTTAAGTGATGGTAGAAAGATTTTTACATAACTTGCAAGTGTTTTGTGTAATTACATAAAAAGCAGTTGAGATTATCTCATTCACCATGTTCAATCTCACTTAAACCACAGTGCAATAATTCTTCTATTTTCTCTTTCTGGACCCCTCTGAGCAAACACAAAAGGAACAACAAATTATGAAATAATATCAATCTAAGTATCAAAACGGAAGCCAATAACAACAACACAAAAGTATACAACGACACAAGCGTGCCATTAATATTGAAAATCAACCAGAAGATAAAAATATAAACCAACAGCACGAGCACAATTCACTCCTCCCAATTTTTAAGAAAAAAAAAAGGTGCTGTCACAATAACAATAGATTACTTGAGCAAAAAAACATAGATGAACAAGACACTCCACTCAAAGCAAATATGCCACGTTAGCTGGGAGCTTTTTGGTAAATAGACTTGGCACAAAAAACTTCAACATCTCGTTCACGACTTCATCATTGGGGAGAGAAATTGCTTCACCAACAACAACAGGCTCTCCTCAACCATTGTGGCGCTTTTACCTTCTGAAAAACTAGTTCCAACTGCAAAGTGATTGGGGTGAGAACATTGATGAACACCATCTTCAACATCTGAATCAGACACATACATCTTAAATAACTCTGTTGAATCATTAATTTGCAAAGCGATTGAATGGGCATCATCTAAACTTGCTTTTGTCTTCTCCAATAGTTGAAGGAATTCATCCCCAAGAAGTTTGTGAGATTGAACAAATTTAGCAAAGTGAATTTCTGGATTCGATTTTGAAGAATCATAACCTTTCGAATCTATAAATCGTAAGAGAAAAAAATAAAGAGGAGAACAATGGAACTAGAATCAAAGGCTTAGAAAAAATTTGGATTAAAAGAGGCACACACAAATTGTGGAATATGGATTGGAAAAGAATATAAAGATATAAAGTGAGATAAAAATTATTGATAGCCATGAGAATAGAGATTATGTTATTGGAAAAGAGAAGATGAGATATGGAGAGACGTTTAATATGGAGAGATATGGGGATGGGATATGGAGAGACGTTTAACATGGAGAGATATATATAAAAATAGAAAAATGTGAAAACAAAATCTAAAACGAAATGTATTTAACTAATAATTTTTTAACGCAAAACGACATCTATAAAAAACAGGAGGGAGTATTATTTTTTAAATCATTGTCAAAAATAAATATTTCAAAAGTTAACCTTTTATTCAGCAGTGTGTAAAATTTATTCCTATATATTCTTTCTTCAAAGCCGGTGAAAATATCTATTTCCTTATACTACTATTATTTTCTTGGGAAAAAGGAAGAAAAGGAAACGAGGAGTCGAAGTTGAAGGGTACAAGTCTATAATATTATATTCTCTCTACGGATTGAAGTATGCAAATTCATCCTCAGATAAAAGATCTTTAATTCATCTGAAGAAAGCGCGCTGCCACACACAGAGAGTTGCCGATGGAGGAAACGTTGACGTTCGTATTCGAGAAGCTGAAGGCCACCGTGAAAATCTCCGGCGGCGAGGCGCAAGCCTGGTTCAGCCGGACTATCCAGCCGGAAAGCATCAGCCACTGGAACCTCGCCCTTCGAAACTCCGGCACCGCGGCGGCGGCCTGGTTAGACCGGATCTGCCCGCCGGAGACGAGGTCTAGCGTGCTGCTCGCCGTGAAAAGCTCCGGCACGGCGGCGACGGCCTGGCTAGACCACATCCTCCCACCGGAGACGAGGGCTCGCTGGCTGCTTGCCGCGAAAAGCTCCGGAACGGCGGCGGCGACCTGGTTAGACCAGATCCTCCCGCCGGAGACGAGGGCTCGCTGGCTGCTCGCCGCGAAAAACACCGGCGGCGAGGCGATGGCCTGGTTTGACGAGGTCTTCCCGCCGGAGACGAGGGTCGAGAAGATCGGCCAGTGGATCCAGGTGGCCAAGCCGTACCTCATCGCCGCCGTGGTCCTGTGGGTGGTTTTCCGCCTCTTTCCCGGCGGCGGCGGCGGAAAGACGATGAAAGCCCCCGGAAGGAACTACAGGATGCGTCGGAGTACTTTCGAGAGTAACCCCAAAGGTTATTTTTCCGATCTCCGTGGCGGCCGTTGAGGTGAACGTCTAATCCGAGGGTTTTCATGTTGGTTGTGCTCTATGCTTGTGGATTTGTACCTTGGGTGATTGTACGGAACTACTTTACAGTTGTGTGGATGAAAGCTTTGTTTGCTGTGGAAAATGAAATTTCCTATTGCATTACTGTGTTTTCATTAGCTCAAGTTCAACAAGTGCTTCTAATTTTCATTTGCAAATTCTTCTATCATAAATTACCTTTCTACTTCAATGTTCTAGCTGCTTTATTATACCAAGTGCAGTGCTAATCAATCTTTTATGCCATAACATATAGATTTCACAATGCAAATCCACCAAATGTCACATTAGTCTTTGAAAGAGAGTACACAATAGACTCAACATATCACCAATACATCTTCTCAGCTGAGCTTATTCCATGTCTGGCAAGACCAACATACAAAATTCTTCACAGGGATTGCAAAACAATTGGGATTCCATACCGAGGGCTAACTGTAAGAAACTGAAAAGGCGAATGCACGTAATCCTTGGACACTTTTAACTTATACCGCTGCAAAATCATCGAGAGCGTGATCTTAGTTTCATTAACAGCAAAATTCGAGCCAACGCAAACACGAGGCCCTGCCCCAAACGGGATAAAAGCAAATGAATTCCCGTTTGTTGCCTTAGCCATTCCATCTGCAAATCTTCCTGGGTTGAATTGCGCAGCATCTTTTCCCCATAACTCGGGATTTGTGTGAAGTGAGAGTGGTGTGATAACCACATCCACATTTGGGGGTAGCTCATATCTTCCCAATTTGGTTTTGGTTCGAACTGTTCTTGCTAAATGGACTACGGGACTATAGAGACGTAATGCTTCATTGATTATCATGGTTAACTGCATTGAATCGAACGAAAAGAAGATAAAATAGATAAAGGGACAAAATCGTAAAAAGTACATGTTCGTTTTTTTACTTACAGTTTTCAATCTGGCAATGCCATCCGATGTCGGTTTTTCCCGGGCGAAAACTTGAAAAACCTCTTCCCTCGCCTTTTCTTGCCATTCCGTGTAAACCGATAACAGAAAGGTAACCCAACACAACAAGCTAGTTGTCGTTTCGTGACCGGCAACATAGAATACCTTGCACTCGTCGACTATATCATCGACCGAGATTCTGCTTTCGGGATCACGGTCATTGTGAACTCTTACAAGCGATCCAAGAAAATCGTGACCAAAATTGTCAGCTTGCGCTCTCCTCACACTCTCTTCCCTTTTCCTAACGAGTGAAAGGATCGAATTACGTAGTGACTGCCTGATTCTGTCCGATTCAATTTCTTCTCTTGACCTCCATATTTTCCTTCGATTATGTGCAAGAAAATTAAATAAGTTCATTATTGTATAGGATATTGTAAATCAAATAAAATTCAAGGTATTTTAGTGTAATTGATTAGTCCAAACTTTTGGTGTTCGTTGTAACTATTTCACTAACACAAACTCTACCACGAGACTGTATAAAGATTAGGCAGATCGACCTGTCATACTTTATATAAAAATCAATAAGGAACGAGACAGTATGAAGATTAAGCAGATCAACTTATTATACTTTACTTAAAAAATAAAAAATAAAAATCAACAACACAGACATATCGTAATAATGTAGATTGATATATATGCATACTCGATCACCGGTATTCTAGTCTTGAAAGCAGTTTTGTAGACCAATACACTCATTTCCCCAAGCTTCTCGAATATAGTTTTCCCTTCAACGAAGCTACTTCCGAAAGCTGTCCTCGAGATCACGTCCGAGGTTAAAAGCCTGAACTCGTTGCTTATATCAATTGTGTTATCTTCATCGTTCGCCCATTTTCCGAGCATAGATTCCACACTCGCTACCATTACCGGAACCATGTCCTGTACAGAGCAATTGGACAATGATTTATTCATATGCATGCAAATTGCAAATATAGCTCTTTGAGAAATTCACCAAAACAAAATAAAATAAAATAAAAATGAAATGAAAGAAGTTTAATTTTCCAATGGGTAAAAAATGATGATAAGCCCTTGTTCAAAAATTGACCTTTAAGCTGTCTCCATGAAAAGCGTAGTTGGATAGTTTTCTCAACCTTGACCATTTTTCACCTTCAGCCAAGATAAGCCCATCTCCAAAAAGTTTTCTTACTGGGCTTGCAGGTTTTGGTTTTTGGTGTGCTACATCATTACTGCTAAGTACTTCCTTAACCAATTCAGGCTCAGTTATGAATATTTGAGGCTGCCGACCAATCCAAATCAGGAAATTGTTCCCTATTACCACCAAAAAAAATATATCCCACTAAATTATTTTATTATAATCAAAAAAGTGTGTGAGAGAGAAAGAAATAATAATTTTTTAAAATCAGTTACATATTAATCACCCATCATTTCATCAAAATTAATTAGGAGGTGTATTCAAAATAGTCGCACTGAATTAACAAATAAGTTTATCATCAACAAAATAATTAGAAGAAGAAGAAGAAGAAGAAGGGGGTAATAACCATATAACTTCTTCCATTTACTCAAATGAGGGAGAACTATTGGGAACATATCATGTTGCCACAACTCATAGGGACTTTCACTTGCCTCCTTTCTCAGTTTGAGGATCTCTTTTGTGTTCCCATAAATGAGTTTGTAAGATGGCCCTTTGAGCCCTTGTGAGCGCAACACGTGTTGGATTTTGATTGGTTTCCACCACAGACTGTAGCATAATAATACTGCTAAGGAAGCTGCAAGAGCCAGAGACAGAAAGGAGGCCAATAAAAGGGTGCTCATGGCTTTAGGGAAATTGATGATGAGGTGAAAGAGTTTTAAGATCTATGGATATATTTATATGTGGATCATTCTTTTGGAGTTTGGACCATGAATTTAAATAATGTTTCCTCGTACATAATTTAATCTGACCTTTTGCCGTTAATTTAATCTCATTTGAAGCTTTCAGCATTCACTTGGTCAAAACGTATAATATAATGTTGGAAGATCAAGACTGATATATATAATCCTTACTATTGATGAAAACGAGTAGATGGGGATTTAATACAATTGACAAGACAAGAGCTATATAAATCTAATACCACTTGCATTTATTTTTTTCTCTCCTACCAGTCTTCTAGTAAGAATTTTCTTACCAAAAAAAATAAATAAATAAACAGATTTAGCTGTAAATATTTTTCCGAGAAGACCCAGTCCAAGAATTTAAGTGACTCCCACAACAAGAAAAATGAAAAAATCCAAAAATAAAAACAAACTAAATTACAATATACAAATATTTCAATAAAAAAACTAGTACGTTAAGAAATATTTTTAATATTTATAAATTAAAAATACTCATTGAATAATATTTATAAATAAAAAATATAGAATCAATATTTAATACAATTTACCTATATTAATTTGCAATATTTATAAATTAAAAATATAGAATCAATATTTAATACAATTTACCTGTATTAATTTGTTGAAAATATTATATGAAATATAAAATGTGCAAAAAACATTAAACATGTCTATCTAAAATTGGTACACGACCCGCACGGTGCAAGTAACTAATAATAAATTACATTATTTCGAAATAGGTCTCATTTTAAAATTTTTATTCGGAAATTCGGTTTGACTACAATGTGATTCAAGTAAATACAAACTTATGTATATATATATATATACATATATTGATATGTTCCGTGAACATTTACAAACTATAATATTCTCCAGATTTTTCTCTCATTAATATCAAGTAAAATGCTTAGCAATATTAAAAACAAAAAAACAAAAAAGCAGAAAAAACAAAATATTGATATACCATTATTTACCATAAGCGGGATCAATCAAAAATTCTATGAAGCCATCGGATGGTTTTTTTATGGAGTCATCCATCACTTAATGTATTGACACCTGTCCAAATTGTATTTATTGCAGGACACGTGTCAATACACTATTGGTGAATAAGTGTGGATGGCCCCATAAGTCGAGTCATTCGATGGATCAATATATAGTATACCAAATAATTCGATTATATGTATTTAATGGATTATTTAATGTTCTAATATTAAAGAGTCCAATTTGTGATGTTTGACTTGGACAGTAAGTTAGGTTAGAACATGGGGAATGTTAGTAGGAATAGGTTTGTAGGACTCCTCCTATATATACTACATGCCCCTCTCTCCCATCTCATACGAAAATAAAGTTCTCAACATCAAGGGCTTTATGGAAAGACGAGAGACGCGGGAGAGAGAAACAATTCATAGACAAAAGATAAATCCATCATTGGAGATTACGAGCAAGATAGATCCATGAGATTACGAGGAAGAGATGACAGATCAACATCATAGATCAAGAAAACAGGGAAGGACTATAAGCTGGATTCTTGTAAGTTCTATGTGCAATTTAATTTATGCAAAGATCCATATTCTATGAATTGATAGAATTACATGTGTAGGGTTTATTCAATTCCGCTTAATAGTTATGAATATGCCCGTTAAATTTCTTACATGTGGTATCAGAGCATGTGTTTATGCATAATTATTTTGCCGATTAAAATTTATGGTCATGCTGCCGCACATTGATTGTAATTATCTGCAAATCATTGCCGCTTGAATGACGAATACATGTTGAGTATGGGAAATTATTTGAGCAAATAATTGTTTGTGAATATGCATGAGTAACATTGCTGTTCGTCTTCTGATGACATAGTTACAGAAAAGTAAAAATTGAAATAAAGTAATGATTGTTTTGAAAGCCTTTCAACCAACTGATATTGAGTGATTGGAAATTATTTGCCTTACACACGTGAGTTACCTGACAACGAATATTGTGCATTATGAGCATATTAATTTCATAAGGGACTTGTTTCAATTGCTATTTACTTTGAAACATGCTTGGTTAGATCACATTAAGGAGTAATAGTGTGAATGTATAGAATAATGCTTAAGTGGTCGGTTGGATCCTGAAAGCTTTTCTGTTGACAAGTTTTGGTTTATGAGTTATTTAAGAAATTTTTTTGCTCATAAATTATATTTAATCGTGTTGACGGTTGAGATTAATAATAGTTTAGATAATCTCATAACATACAATCAAATAAAATATTTTCTAATTATATTATCTATGTAAAGAAACTAGTTAGTCACCAAAGTGGCCTAGTTTGATTTATGGAATAGATAATTAAATTAGATGAAATATAATTAAAACAAAATATTATCTAATTATATTATCTATGTAAGAAACTAGTTAGTCACCAAAGTGGCCTAGTTTAATTTATGGAATAGATAATTAAATTAGATAAAAGTATCAATTATTCAAATATAAGACGATGTCTTATTAATGTACCCTAATATTATAATATTTGAATAATTGATGTTATAGATTATAAACTAGGAGGACACCCAAAGGTGGGCCATGGTTTGTAATATATGACAATAAAAGAGAAATTATATTAAAGTTAGGTTAATTAGTGTGTTTGTCCAAAGATAACCACTAATTAATCACAATACCTATAATTTCTATTAAAGATC